CGGGATGGGTGTGTCAGAGGCAATGAGTTTGGCACAGGATAGAGCAGGGTTTAGGGCTGTTGTGCATAGGGTCGCTATGAGTCGGAAACGACTCGACGACACATAACAACAACAGCAACAACATACATATATTCTTCCATGTGTGTGAAACATTAAATAATAATGTTCTTAAGAACAACTAAGACCAAATCGATACCTTCTCCCAAATACAACAAAAAAAATTAAAACATTAAAAGAAAAAGAAGCAACATACCAACAGGTAGTCATCTAAATGTGGCTAAAAATGTACTTATTACAAAAACTATTAACTACCACATAACGTGCTACATTTAATACATGCCTTTTGTACTTAAACTATGTACTTGAATTCACTGTCATACTCTAAGAGTATGAGGAAGATGCAGGTTATCCACAGAAATTATATAAACAATATACATACATCATTTCATTTCTTTATTTACTCAGTGAATTTTGAGTTTTTGACATGTGCTTTACTAATAAACAGAGTAATTTTTTCCCTTAGACAATTCTCTATCAAGGATTTATTTTTCCATATTATTAGATCAGATTGGTGACAAATCTCCCTACTAGAATAAAATATTCTGTATTTCCTTAGACACTAGTATCCAGTGTTAAAAAACGCCCTGATTTCTCAGTCACTGGCCAGTGGGATATCACTGTTGAAAAGGATGGTAAACAAGAATCTACCATCTTTGATGCTGTCATGATTTGTTCTGGACATCATGTGTATCCCAACCTACCAACAGACTCTTTTCCAGGTAAGATAAAAATTTAGCATGCCATCTACACATAGAGCAAAAATTAGTATCTTTATGTTATCTATAACTTTATCTCACATACTTTGGGCATGTTGTAAGAGACCAGACCTTGGAAAACACATGATTCTGGGAAGGGTGGAGGGTCAGAGCAAAGTAAAGGACCCTCAATAAAATGGATTTGTAACAACAGGTATGAGTACATTGTAGATCATGAGGAATGTATAGGATGGGAGAAGGTTCAAGTCTGTCGCTCATAGGGTCACAACGAATCATAGTTGATTTGATACCTAATAATACCAAAATAACAACAATATGTATACACACACATATGTTGTTGTAATTGCTGTTACATACCATAGTGTTGGAACTGACTCATAGCTGGCCCTATGAAAACCAGTGGGTTTTCAGAGGCTATAAATCACAAAGATTAAGTTATAGCTTGCTTGGCTCCACAATCGACACTCTTGGCACCAGCAGTCAGGAAAGCAAAAGATGAATTGCATTAGGAAAATCTGCTGCCAAAGACCTCTCCAGAGTACTGAAAAGCAACAGTTTAGAGACTAAGGTGTACCCGATCCAGAAATTACTTGCTATGCATTGGAGAGCTGGAAAATGACTAAGGATGACAGAAATATTGACGCCTTTGAGTTGTGGTGCTGGAGAAGAGTCTTGAAAATATCATGGACCTCAAGAAACAAAACCAAAAAACACACAACCAAATAGGTCTGTCTTTGAAAGGGAGAAACTAAGTTTCTCCTCAGAAGCTAGAATTTTTAAGCTCTGTCTCATACACTTTGGGCAGGTGGTCAGAAAGGACTGGTCCTTGGAGAAGGACGTCATGCTCTGAAGGGTGGAGGAACAGTGCAGGAGAAAAAGACTCGGATGAGATGGACTGGGACAATGGGGGTAGGTGTAGCAGAATCAGTGAAACTGGCTCGACAGGGCAGGCTTCAGGGCTGTTGTATATAGGCTCACTATGAGTTTCAGGCAACTCAACTCACATATAACAACAACAAATCACACAAAAGGGAACCGTCCATTTTTTTCCTACAGAGCTGCTGATGGATTTGAATTGCCAGAGAGGCGTGTCTTTTGAGTTAGCAGTCCAGCTCCTTATGGACTATGCCACAGAGTTCCCTAAAATATATTATTGTCGAATCTACTGAAAGAACAATATTGGGAGTGTTCACAGTTATATAACATATACTATCACCATCACCTTGCACAAGGTATTTCATATGAAATATTTTTTAAATGAAAATTTAAAAAGTGTTCATGTTTTCCACTTTTTACTCAGGTCTAAAACATTTTAAAGGCAAATGCTTCCACAGCCGGGACTACAAGCAACCAGAGAAATTCAAGGGGAAGCGAGTCCTGGTGATTGGTTTGGGGAATTCAGGCTGTGATATTGCCACGGAACTCAGCCATACGGCAGAACAGGTATCACTTCTGAGGTACTGGGTGAGGACGTAGGATGGTATTTTCAAAAGGAAAACAGGCAGAGGCGGGAGAGGCAGTTATTATCCTCTGAAATATGTGATGTCAAATAGGGAGAAGAACAGATATTTGGTTTAAAATCTAAGGACTGGTTCATAACAGCTTGGTTTACAAACAAAACAAAGCAAAACTCTGTAGGCTAAACAGCTGAAAAGATAATTAATTGTCTCAGTGAATTTCTACCCAAACTACCAACAAGAAGTTAAAGAAATAAAATAAAAAGCTTGCTAGGCAAAGATAGAACATAGGTAAGGAATAATGTTATTCAACAGCACTTTCCTGTGAGATGTTTGGGAGTCCAACAAGTTTTCCACAAAACAGGTTGGATTTGGCTTTCTGATTATAACTCTCAGAGGCTGAGGCAAGTCCTTCAATCCTTCTGAGTCTCAGTTTTCTGATGCACAAAGCAAATACAAAAAACAAAACATAAAAATCTATTGTTTTACCTTGTTTTAACAAGTAGTTTTAACTATTTGAATATTATTCATTGTTGTTGTTGAGTATGTGGAGTTGGAACCAACCTATAACTAACCCTCTGGAGAATTTTCAGAGGCAGTAAATGGTATAGGAGGAGGCTGCTCTTCTTTTTCCCATGGAACACCTGGTGATGTCAAACTACATGCTTCTGGATTGGCAACATAATTCCTTACTACTAAGCTACCAGAGCTCCCTGAATATTATTAAAGCAGTATAAAGTTCTGTATTCATGTCATCATTCATCCTATTTTTACTTTTGAGATGCTGCTATGTGTGCCAGAGAGAGCTTGTGGCCTAGTGGTAAAAAGCTGCTCTGTAATCTGAAGATACCTGGTTCAAATCCACTACCTGCTTTGTGGGAGGAGAGGCAGTCTCCTCCCACATGATTTACTGCCTGTGGAAACTTGTTGGAGAGTCAACCATGGGCTGGTTCCAATTTGACAGTCCAAACCAAACCAAGAACTATGTGTTTCAAGGGAGCTCTGGTGACATAGTTTATAGAGATTTGCATTGCTAGCCCAAAGGCCAAGCATCTCTATTGGTTTGAACCCACCAGCAGCTCCTCAGGAGAAAACAAGCAATCTCCTCCTGTGTGATTTAAAGCATTGGAGTCGGTTCTAACTTAATGACAATGGGTAGGATTACTATGTGCCAGACACTGGCTTGGGTGCTGAAAAAAAAGTGGCAACAATAATAAAACAAACAAAAAAAGAAGCATGCATTTTGTCATGAAACTCAAAGACTAGGGTAGAAAATAGTTTTGAAATAAGTAATACAGCATCGCCTAGTTTATAATTGTGGAAAGTGCCAGGAATGAAAATTGGGCTGCCATAACTAGAGGTGAAAAGAGTCTGATGACCTAGGAGCAGAGAACAGAAAGCTGAAACAGAGGCCCAATGTCAGGAGAGTGCTCCAGACTGAAGGTCAGATGCAGTGGGTGGAATTCAGTGGGTCTGGGAAAGAATGGAGCCAGGAGAGGTGACAGTGAAAATAGAAAAGAGTTGATGCAGAGACTTTTAGAACATGATAAGAAGTTTAACCAAATGTCACCTACTGGCTTTGGAACATTGTGTAAGGATTGATTGTCCTGAGGCTCAAAGCCAGGACTCTTATCATTAGTACAATGCTTACTGACGTAACTGTGGATCCCTATGAAAGATTTACCTATGCATCATGGGGTCAGAATCAGTAAAACAAATAGAACACAAGATGTAAAAGTATATCCCTGTATATTTGTTCAGAGTTGATGGTGGTACGAATGTTTAACACATTCAATCAAAAAATTGCAGTTAAATTCTACCAGTAGCATCACGGAAGAAACACCCAATGGTCTATTTCTGATAAATCCTATGGCTCATCTGATACATGTGATCACCATAAAACAGTCACCATGTATCAGGATCACTTAATACATGGGATCACCGTAAGCCCGCAACTAGTTTGACTTTTATCTATTTGTTCAAAGTATTATACTAGGCAATGGAAGCATACAAATAAGTTAACTGTGTGGTCCAGGCCGTGAGGAACTTAAAATCTAATTGGAAAAAGTAATATATGGAATTAGGTTCAGTATAAAGAAATACAACAGGACATACAAGAGCTGCCACTAAAATAAGGATAACAGGATGATTCAGACACTAAATTCTGGGATTATAGAACTGTGGTAGTCAGCGAAGCCTCCAGAGGAGGTACAACTGAATCTGACCCTAATGATAAAAATAAATCATCATTTAAAGAAATGGCAAAGGGTGTTCCAGACAGGAAGAATAACATGAGAAAGTATAAAACCAGGAGTGCACCTTGCATATTTGACTACCCTTAATTCTTAATTTAATTGCTTACTTGCCCAACATTTTGCATTTACAGTTGTAGTAAAAACTCAATTTTGAGTATTAGCAACATATCTTAACAAACATAACTTGTGAGGTGAGAATAAGACTGGTTCTGGTGGTGAAGATCATACATCAACTTGGCTGGGCCATAGTTCTCAGTGGTTTGATAGTTATATGATGGTATAGTTTGGTGGTTATATACTGATATAATTTGGCAGATATGTTATGATATAGTCATCTTCCATTTTGTGACCTGGTATGGTCATCTCTCTTTCCACATAAAACGGCTTTTTACACAATGATATGAACTTTGGAGTTTAACCAGGTTGTCATGTGAGGAAGTACAGGTAATATAGATTTGTTTTCCTGAAATAGAGGTTCTTAACAACATCTTTTAATTTGATAATGCATTATGGTACTCAAGTATCGTCACATAAATTCTCATATTTGCTTGTGGAGAGAAAACATTTCAAGTTTTACTATATTCAATTCACAGAAAATATTGAATATTGAGGATTAAAGATATGAATTGTCTTCTTGAAAGACAGAGAGGAAATTAATGTTTAAGTTAATGTATTGGGCTTTCTGATCCAAAGGAACAGCATAGCTATGGAAATTAAGATGGAAAAGAATGATTGAAGACATCTTCATATTTGAAGAGCTTAAATGACAAGCTAAAGAACTTAGATTTCTCCACAAATAATCAGTCATTTCCTCTATTGTTGATAGAGAAAAATATGCTGAAACCTTGGTTTTAAGATATTTATCTGCTGGCTATATACAGGCTAAATTAGAGTGAAGAATGACCAATTTCAGAGTCTTTCATAAATTGATCCATTAGTTTCATGTTATATGACTAACTTCCATTACAATAAACATCTATAAAGATGACTTTATATAGTCAAACTTGTAAACTGCTTTAAAGAAAAAAAAAACCCCAGACACCTCTAATATTTGGGATTAACATAGTGAAAAGGATGTGGGAAGAAAATTGACATTTACTACATGCCAGGCACTGCTGGGCATATTGTACAGATTATCACACTGGATTGTCCTTGTGCAAATTCTATGTGCTGAGTATTTATTATTCCTATTCTATGAATGAGGAAACGGAATACAACAGAAGTTCAAGATAATTGCTCCAAATCGCATTATCACTAGTGACGAAGGCAGGATATGAACTCTAATCTTTCTGATTCCAAATCTCTTGCCTTCTTTTAGTTCAAATGTGATAATCAAGGATTAAAATAATTATTCAATAATAATTATTTCATAATAATTAAATTATTTCATTGACTTTCATTATAATAATTATGTAATAATTATTATAATCATAATTATTTCTTTATAGACAATGTCTATCATTTAAGTATTTTAAAAAGAATGGCTAGAGTTCAGTTATTAGTCACCTTAGCAAATAAACAACTCATTGCTATCAAGTTGGAACCAACCCATGGCTGACTCTCCAGTGAGTTTTCAGAGGCTGTAAATTATGTGAGAGGAGATTTCTCATCTTTTTTCCCATGGAACAGCTGGTGGATTCAAACAACCTCCCTTTATGTTGACATCTCAATTCCTTACCCATTACACCATTAGCTATATCACATA